CTCAGTGTTTTAAAAGTAGTGCCTCTCCCCTCCAATGTCTGAAATGCTGACAGGAAAGCTGTGGATGGAGTCTTTGGCTCCGCAGGAACTTCGGACTTATCGGCTTCCCCTCTGCCTTCCTGTGATTACACTTTCCTGGAGTTGGCAGGCCCTGGCAAGGCCCCGTGTGGACAGGTCCTTGGGCAAACCTTCCATGGCCCGGCCTTGCTCTGCGAGGCCCTGTCACATTAGCCCCGGAGCCAAGAAAGGCCTCTGTCCCTTCCACCAGGCTCAGGGTCTCCTCTTCCTGTCTTCCCCACCCCCCACACATCGGCCTCCATCCAAAAGCTGGACAAAGAGACTGAAGGGTAGAACTTGGCAGTTGGGGTACTGGCAATAACCACAAACGGAGCTTGTTCCGTTTTCCCTGGAAATTTCAGGCTGACGATTGTGAAATTAACGGACAACAGAAGAGGGTCTCTTATCTCCATTCAGACCCACAGGGATGCATTTTTCTCTTGGGCTGTGTCTGGGTTGCTTGCACTTCCCCAGAGCATGGTTTAGGAGTGAGATGTCCAAAACCTAAGGATATGGAATATGTTGCAGGTTCAACTGCAGTTCAACCACAAATACAGAGCATGCGGGATGCTTTGGAAAATATAATATGGAACATCTCAGCCTTTTTATGGTATTAATTTTCTCCCACATCCCTCAAGTTATTTTGTGTGTGTGTCTTCTGGCCTCTGTGCCTGCCTCTTTTTCTTCTAATTTTTCCTCCTAAAAAGAAACCTTCTGACAATGTGACACGAATGCCTTCATTTATGACCCATGCCATTTATTTTGCTTATACGCTTGGTTAAATGCTGGATTTGGCTCATACGGTACTTTCCATTGGGAACTTTAATAAATTCATTATCCTCAAAGCAAAAAGAATAACTTTTCCTTTTTAAGCTAAAAAGTCTGCATTTAATTAATGTTTCAAGTAAATAAATATGTAAACCATACTAAGGAACTTTTGGGTATTTCTAAAATTATTACTTCTGCTTTATTCTTTCTCTTAAGTCTTGAATTCCACTTATATGTTTAAGTCACTTTTTAAATGTTAGATGCTACATGGCTAATAACAAGGAAGGATTGACAACTATTTAGTTATTTTGACAAATGCAACCTATTACCATAATGCAATACAGAATAATAGAGTAAAATTTTTTTACCTCAAATTAAAGTGCTTTTTTTTAAAAAAAAATATTAGATCCTCAGTGAGTAACTCCATGTTCCATTTTGCTTGGTCTAAATTAATTGTGGATCTACTCACCCATAATCTGTTGTTTCTGCTTGGCTATGCATACATCATGTATGTGCTTTCTTCTGATTTTAATCTTCCTCTGTGCTTTCTGCACTGTAGGTGTAACCTCCAACAATCTTAGTGTAAAGCAGGCTAATTCTAAGACACACACACACACACACACACACACACACACGTTACCATGTTTTATTTCCCCAGGAAGACCACACCACCAACTTAGTTTCTGCTTTCATGCCATCCAGTGCTACTTAAGAACATATTGGAAAAGGTCCTTTAATTCCACTAACATTTCTTGCAGCTCAATATTACTGGGTCTTTTCCATTACTGGGTGAGTATTCTTCCCTAATTAAATCACATTACATTCCTTGCAGTGACTAATCCCAGTGTTTTTCACTATTCAATTTTCCAGAATTTGAATCGCTTTATTCTCTGAAGATTGCTCTGCCTCATCCTTAGAAAACTAAGTCCATCTTATGTGAGCTCCATGAGCACCTCCCTTCTCTACAACAACCTTCCTCTAACTTCATCTATTTCCTCCCCTCCCTCGGAGGCTGCCATTTCCCATTACACCTTTGATTACATCTCCTCCTCTGAGGCCTTTTAAAAATTGATTATCCCTTTCCTCTTAGGCCTGCATTCTCTCTTTCTGCCAAACACACTCCTATCCTAAAAACAACAACAACACAAATACTTCCTCAATGGTACTTAACTCTCAAATTTCTTCTCTGCAAACTTTTTGCACATACTGGTATATTCCTCTTCTCCTCGACCTGCTGTTTACCTCCTAAAAATTTAGTTTTTATTCTTATATCCATTGAAACTGAACTCTCGAAAGTCACTGATTTGTAATCTATCGGTAACCAAATCTAACTATCTTTTTCAACCACCGTTCCTCTCTGTAGTATTTGACAAAGTAGCATTTGACAGCGTCTTTCTGGAAACCAAAAGTGTTTCCAGAATTCTGAATGGAGTCTTCTATCTCCATTCCCTGTTACTTGAACTGCAAACTTGAACCTTTATGTCTTTCTCTTGCTCAATCTCCTTATTGCAGATATTCGCCCAAGAATTTTTCTCCAAACTCTATATACTCCTTTTCTGGAATTTTCATGGTATTAGATGTCTTTTCTGTGTGAACAGCGCTGGAGCTCACCAGTCCTGAATTACAGGCCTCTATTTCCAGTTTAGGCTGGATTTATTCACATTTAAATTCTGTCACTATGTCAAATGCAACAGGTCCAGAACAGGTTCTATTTTTTTCTCCTCCCCCAACCTGCCTTTCTTGATTTCCCCCTTTCAGGAAGTCACACCACCGTCTTCCTTGTTACCTAGGATAAAACGTTGGCGTTCTCTTGGACCATGATTTCCTTATCCCCAATGCCACGGGATTTCAAGCTCTCGTAGATGTGCTGCCCTGATGGCCGGTTTAGATACATTACAACCAGACTAACTTTCTCTAAGTGCAGTTATAGGTTACTCCCCTGCTTAACAGTTTCCTATCATTTTGGTTTTCTTGGGTAATTTTTACCTGCTTTCTGTCTCTCAGTTTTAATTTTCCACATGTTTACGCCTGCTGCCCACCTCTAAATTCTTTAACATAGAATTATTTTAAATAATTATTTTAAGTATTAATTAAAATAATTATTTTTTAAATAAGTACTTAAAAACCCTGATAATCACAATATGTAGGCTATACCTTGATCTGGTTACACTTAAGATCTCATGGACCCTAATTTCTGTGTGTGTGTGCACGGGCACATGCTTTATAATTTTGATTGAATGCTGGACATTGTAATATTCTGAAGTAAGTTATACTTATGCCCAGAAATGAGTATGCCTCTTCTGTTAGGCTGTGAGTATAAGTGGTTGTCAATGGAGTCTGTAATTTAGCAGGGCTTGGACCTTGTCTTTGCTTTAGTTATGTTCTATGCACTGCAGCCTTTAAATTCCCCTCGTGGTAAACTGCTTCTGTCTTGCACTTAGTGTAAGGCAGAGGTTCTCAACCTGTGGGTCACGACCCCTTTGGGGGTCGAACGACCCTGTCATAGGGGTCGCCTAAATGCATCCTGCATATCAGATATTTACATTACGATTCATAACAGTAGCAAAATTACAGTTATGAAGTAGCAACGAAAATAATTTTATGGTTGGGGGTCACCACAACATGAGGAACTGTACTAAAGGGTCGCAGCATTAGGAAGGTTGAGAACCACTGGTGTAAGGCCTGGAGCCAAAGGGCTTCTCCCCGTTCTCCTGCTGCACTCTTAGGCCCCGGTGGACCCTACATGCCTGCAACAGAAAGAGAGTCCTCTTATTGTCACCCCATCTCCCAGCAGTAAACTGCTCTTATCCGGTACTCAGTACAAGGCCTAATTCTCTAGCTCTACCCTCAGATTCAGGCAGGCCCTGAGTTCTAGTCTTAGTGATGGTTTTTCTCAATGCTCCTGCCTCTCTCCAGCATTAGCCGGTCACCTCCTGTTACTGGGTGTAAGACCTGGGTGGGGGAGAGGGGTTCTGGTCATCTGTCCTGTCCCTTTGTGAAGCAGACAACTGCTGTCCATACTCATGTAAAGTTGGAGTGTGGGAGGTTTTCTCTTGGTTCTGCTGATCCACCATCAAACGTAGGCAATCCCTTTAGTTCATTAATTTATCTTGCAACTCAGAGTCTCCATGGCCTCAAAAATTATGATTCTGCAGGTTATCTGGTTTGTTTGGAAGCAATGTTTCTTATTTTATTTTATTGTTTAAAGTATTACAAATAGTAGTACATATGTCTCCTTTTCCCCCCATTGAACTCCCTACCCCCTGGCACATGCCCTAACACCCCCCCCCAACCCCCACCCCAGTGTCTGTGTCCATTGGTTATCCTTATTCTTGTAACTTTCCATAGAAGCATTTTACTTTCCCTAGTGCATTTTACCTTCACTCTTCCTTAGATTTCATTCTCCCAGAAACAAATGCTAAGAAAAGGATTTGAGTTCAAGTACTTTGTTTGGGAGGTAATCCCAGGCAACCCCAGTAAAGTAGTGGGAGGAGAGACAGGGAAGAGAAGGAAGCCTCGATAGTGTGTTAATGAACAATTGAGATGCAGTCCCGGTGGGGGCTCTGGAAGACTGTTTGGAATTAGCCTGAGGGAAGAAGCTGGGTATACATCCACTAACTTCCACCTGTAACTGAGTTGCTATTCAGCCTGTGGGTGGAACCTACTCCAGATCAAAAATGGCAGAGAATCACAGGAACTTGTAGTACAAAGTTGTTTACACGAGAGAATGTGGGCAGCATAACACTGTTATAATCTCTCCAATGACACATTATTTCTCATATATATTGGTGTACTAGGGTCTGATGTTTTTGAGAGGATGATTCATACTTAATTTATCATTGTATTATCCCATCATAGAAAATAGTCAGAAGATCAATATTTATTAAATGAAAAAATATATTTTATCAAGTACCAATATGTAGAATTATGCTTAGCTCATCTTTATTTTCTCTCATCCTCCCATACCCACAACCTCACCCGACCCTAATCACTCAGTTAAATAACTTGGTTCTCTTAATTTCCAAGAAGGTGAACTTCAACAGACTGATTGGAATTTTTTAAAAACATTGATTTCCTTGCTAATTTGAATGTATAATAAATGTAATTTCCACACTTTATTACTTTAAAGTATAATTCCTAAACATGATCTAATAGACATTTTCTGTTGTTTGTAGCCAGCAATGATTAGGCGTCCTCCAACAATCGTTTGCTACATTTGTGGTCGTGAATATGGAACAAAATCAATTGCCATCCATGAGCCACAATGTCTGAAAAAATGGCATAATGAAAACAACTTGCTGCCTCAAGAGTTAAGGAGACCAGAACCTAAGAAACCTGAAGTCAGGGCCATTAGTGGTAAGTTTTTGGATGAAAAGACTTGAGTGCATAAGGGGAGACATTTCTCTTTATAACTGTAAGAGTAGAAATATTCTTTTCTCTCTTGTTCACACAACTAAAAACAATATTTACTGTCCTGGCTACAGTTGAATAGGAAAAATAGTTCTGGAATGCCTGCCCAAAGTGTTGCCCACAGATGCTGAGACATAAAGACACAATGTCTTGGCAAAACTGCACAAGGAGAGGGACCCGCTGGAATTCACATCTTTCTCAAAAGTTACTTTCATATGTTATCAAACATAATATTTAAAAACAATGCTTAAGAAAACACACCTTTGGGGCCATCCGGTGACATGTTTGCAAATATGAATGCATCGTAGAGTTTGTAGAACAGGAGTAGCAAACTCAAGTGCTTACAGGGTCCACTAGTCAGGTTCCAAAATGGAATAAATTGGTCCAGGTATGAAAAGAGGGGCAGTGAAGACTATGGGAGCTGGAAAGTACTAGCTCCCTCTAAAGTAGACAGCTGCTGCCCAGTTTCAGCTGGTGTCATCATTAAGAAATTTAACCCAGTAGGGCTATGCCTTTCAAAAATACAAAAGAAACTGGAAATCTAGACATCTGTATGAAATAGCCACATTTTAAAATTTTTACCATTAGTACTTTGTTAAGCAGTGCACAAGCCAGATGAAACTGGAACTCCATACACTACCATGTGTGGCCTTGTTACAGAACCTTATGCATATTCTGTTAGGGTATGAGAATAAAGTAGTTCAGAGAATATTTTTGTCATATAAGCTCTGACTTTCTCATTTTTACCATTGTTATATTCTCAGTCGATCCTCTAATTCCCCTCAAAAGAGTATCTTTCTTGGTTTTAAGAGGAGTATTATTCAGTTCATTCATTCTCCTTTTGTAGCCATAGATTTCCAGAGCTGGAAGGTTCCTTGGAGGTTATTTAGTATCATTTAGTCCAAAGCACTCTTATTAGAGATGTGACCAAAAAGAGTTTTTAACGACCCACAGAATAGAATTTAGATTATCATAATAAAGTTCTAGATCAGTGTTTCTCAACCTTCCTAATGCCGCGACCTTTTAATACAGTTCCTCATGTTGTGGTGACCCCCAACCATAAAATTATTTTCGTTGCTACTTCATAACTGTAATTTTGCTACTGTTATGAATCATAATGTAAGTATCTGATATGCAGAATGTATTCTCATTGTTACAAATTGAACATAATTAAAGCATAGTGATTAATCACAAAAACAATATGTAATTATATATGTGTTTTCCGATGGTCTTAGGCCACCCCTGTGAAAGGGTTGTTTGACCCCCAAAGGGTCGCGACCCACAGGTTGAGAACCGCTGTTTTAGATGCTTCTATAATTCAACTTTTCACAGTTCTTGCTAAGAGAAGGACTCTGAGTAGAGATGGGGAAAAAAACTCAAGATGAATATTAGAGCATTTGCATACAAAAAGATTGTTTGCCCCATTGAAGCTCTCGCCCAGCAATTCTCATTTGATATCACAAATGTGTTTTGTTCACTTCTGATCTTTATCACTTTCTCTGCTTTGAACATAATTATTACAAGTCTAGAAGAGGTGTAAGAAATGACCATTTTGAAAGCCCTGGTGGGTTCATTCATCTATTATTGTTGGAAAAATTAGACCCTTTAACTACACCCCCTGTGATTTTCCTGTTGAACTTGGATTATTATTATTTCTGAAGGGGTCTTTCCTCTCTAGACCAAGAGAATTCCCATGACCACTTCCACCCCATGGAGTTACTGTAGCCATAGAGTTCAAATAACCCTTCCTACAGATCCAAAGCCAGAGCCCTATGCAAACACCATGAGAGATGTGATGAATCATCTGACAATGAATAGTCTGGAATTTTTAGTCCATTTTAAACCTTATGAGTAAGAAGAAAGTCAGTGCCATTATTTTTGCAACCGTTTTCAAAGCACTGAAAAACACTTTCATATCCTATGTAGAAATTGATACTTGCTTTATCCAAAGGAGAAATACTAGATTTGCTGGATTTTAATTCATTTTCCATGAAGAAAAGAAGCCAATAATTGAAGTAGGCATGTTAAGGAATCTGAAGTTTGCTATGGTGGTGTGAACCATTAGACAGAAATCATCTGAGAATTGCCTGGGTTTTCACGAGGAAATATATGCTATGAAAATGAGAAAAACTATGTTATATATTTTTGAGGACCTGGCTATACTTTGGGGGCCTATTTTGGGAGATTCTAAGACATAGTCAATTTAATGTACTAAAGTAGTTCTATTTAAATAAGGTTCATTAAAGCTAAATCCCACACTGTTTCTCTAAAATAAAGCCATATGCCTTTTTCCTCTGCTCTGCCAATGAAGATTATACATCTTTCAGCTGTCTTCTTTGTTTTCCTAAGGGCACTTCTTTTCGTCAGATTAACTATTCTGTTTGCATTCTTCACTTTAATTACTTAAAGAATCTCCGAGTTTATGGCCTTAAAGAGATGATAAATTTTTATGATATAATTTATCTTAAATTCACTCGTGACTGTCAGTGTTGGCCTCTAAAAACATTCCACTGAAGGATTACGGAAGAGGAAAATACAAATACATGTTCTCTTTCCTTTGTAAGTTTATATTTAGAGTCAACTGAAAGAAGGCCAAGAGTTATATTTGCAACATAATAGTGTGTAAGCAAAGATGTTAATAATTAGTACAGAATGCATATCGTAGCACATAAAACAATGTCTTTCCCTTTTTAAAACCCAGGGAGCAAAAAGCCTCTGGTTCATAGCAAACTTTCCTCAACCCTTGAGTGAACAGCACTTTTTTTTTTCTTTTTTTGGCCAAAGTAATACGACTTGTTTAAAAGCCTCAGTCAACAGGTATTTCCTGAAAATATTTTCCATAAAAAGTAGAATATGGTTCTCCACAATGAAAACGGATCCATTTTACCATTTTCTTTTCCTTTTCTTTCTTTCTTTTTTTTTCTTTAACTTCCCAGCCAAAGGTTTCTATGATCTCGATTCCTTAAATGAAGCTGCTTGGAGAAGTGCCCAGAGCCAGTTGGTTCCCTGCAATATTTGTGGGCGTACCTTCCTGCCAGACAGACTGATTGTTCACCAACGATCCTGTAAACCAAAAGCCACCAAGTAAAGCCCGTTCTCTCTGTGAAAGTGTTACAGGAATGAATCCTTTGGAAAGAGCTCTGGGTGTGGTGAGGAGGAGGAAAAGTTGGCGAGGAGAGGAACAATGGAAATTGGAATGAATCAAAGTCCTAGCACAGGAAGCCCACTGCTTTGGTGGCACACGTGTAACCACTGTGTGGTGGGCAAATGCGTGCGCATGTCACACTTGTGTCAGGCAGAAGCACAAACGGGCTGCCCTTCCTCAGACCTGGCACTTTTGTCTCAAGGAAATTTTGGAGCCAACTGTTGCCATCTCTCCCCCACTCTATTTCCCTGAGTGAGAGTTTGAACCTTGCAATCAGGACTATTATTCAGTGAACAGAGGCTTTGGGTGGCGATTTCAGGCAACTCCTTAGTCCCAAGAAAAACTGGACTCCTCCCCAGACCTGTGCTGACTGAAATAACATGCCACTCCCCGCTCCCTCGGATCCAGGGAAGTGTTTTTAATTGAGCTGTTGATTTGGAATCTTCTTTTCTCTAGGAGATCATTCAACAGGAGAGACATTCAAAAAAGGGCTGAGCACTTCTAATACTGGAACCATATCTAACGCATATTCTCTTACTGAAAGTGAGAAATGCAACGGGGAAATTTCAGAAGCAGTGCCAGCCTCAGATGTCAGGAGATTGCTCAAGTGCGATTCATCAAATGGGTGGAGGCCCCTTCCTTCTATAGGAGAAGTCCAGCGAGAGTTCTCGTGCCCTCAGAGGGGCTTATAGGTGTTTTATTGTTGAGGCTTAAATGCCTGCCAGGAAGGGCGGTGCCTCCCCACCCAAGTCCGTGCACAGTAAGTGGGTTGTGAGACTGCTCTGTGTTTTCAAGTCTTTGAATGTGTATTCATAGAGGCAGGCTCTCTGGGGAGGAGGCCAGGGCCAGGGCGCTGGTCTGCCCAGGAAATTCTGCTCCCCCAGGCAGCACTGCTTCGTCTGGACTCCCAGCAGCTTTGCTTGAGATCTTTGTTCATTTAGTGGCTGAATTTCAGGGCCATTCTGGATTTGCTGGGTTCCTACAAGCTTGCATTCATGACCGTACATAGCACAGTTAGCCCCCGACCATACAAGCAATGTTCAACCTGCTGTTTTGGTCATATACCTCTGCTTTATAAAAGGTTAGGTTAAGAGAATGGTGCTAATCATTCATGGGTTTTTGTTGTTGTTGTTGTTGTTGTTTTTTCTGTTCCAAAAGAAACAAGAGATACCTTTTTAAAAAAAAGTCTTTAGATACCCTCCAATAACATTATCATCTTGTGCAAGACATAGCATTTACCGACTCACGTGGATGGTTTAGTCTTGCTAACAAAAGTGACAACATTTAATACATAGCCGTTGTACTGTGGGTTAGTGCTTCCTATGCATCAGATTACGTATATCTCACATCAGCCCTGCATGTAAGTATCATTATCCTTAGTTTACACATGAGGAAACTGATACTTAGACTAAACAGTCTTTGCAGATCACACTGAGCTTGAGTTCAGGGATGGAGCAGGAAAGCAAACTCAGAACTGTTGGAATTCCAAACCCATAAGCTCATCCATTTCCACTTATAGGCTAGATACCATCATTAATTATAGTAACTATACTCACACAAATGAGCTGACACAGGTGAAAAGTTTTGTGCAATGTTTTGTAACTCAGGCAAATGGGAATGTTAGCACACCTACAGTGTGCCTGCCGGTCTGGATTTATCCTACACTGAGGTAAAGACAAACATTTGAACAGTGTGGTGTTTCAAAAGACACTTCTGCGTTCTACTAACGTTCAAAGTCAAGGATCAGAGAAAGAAAGGAAAAGTTCTGGCCTCCACTTGGGAATGAGTTGCCACTCAGGGTTTGATAAAGAGACTCTGGGGCACTTTGCTTTCACAGCATGACCGAAAATAAATAAAACGAAAGGACTTCATCTGTAGGAATGATCAAGCCTGTGAGTTCTTGAAGTGGTGGGGAATGATGAGCTCTTGTAGGAACTGTGATGTCCACAGGAACCCGTGAGCCAGCGTGAGGGCCATCCCAGCCATCAGCAAATGTTCCTTGGAATTAAATCTAGAGCAAGCTCCCTTCCAAGTCCTACCCAGGCCGACCCTGCTGAGTGTCGGAGACCAGGTACATTCAGGGTGGCATGGCCCTAGCTGTGTGCTGTGGAAGCAGTGATGACAGGAGGAAGGAGGCTGGTGTCTTGGGGGGGGGGGTTCCAGCCACAGGGAGCTTATGGGCAGTCCAGTGAGGTTGATGATGTTTTTAGCATAAGAATTACATAGAGTTTCTGTCCTGGATTGTTCTAAATCCAGGGGCTATGCTGGCCGCTGCCCCCCGAGGGAGACACAGTCAGTGGTGTTTCCCAGTTCGGCCTGGACGTGGCAGCGGACAGCACCACAGGCCCCATCGGCGTCTCTGCTTGTGGGGCTCTGGCACTCACAGGGACTGCTATTTGCACACGTACTGCCTTTCCTGGAAGCCCCCAAAAATAATAATACAAGATACGTAAATCTAGAGCAAGCTCAGTGGTAAGGCCATCAATCTAAGAGTTCCCGCCATTATCAAGGCAAGTCATCAAAGTCCCACTAATAGGACAGAGCTCACCTGCTCTCTGCCAAGTGCCCTCCCCACAGTCAGCTCACACCTGTGCAGAGAAATAATTTTCTTAACAATGGTTGGCACCTCCATGAGCCATGACTTTGAACCTTTTGATGGTTCCCATAGATACTCTCCTAAAGGATGAAGAGCGGGTACTAGATGAAGGTATTGGCGTTCTTACTCTCACCCAGGCAGTTACTGATCTGGGCCATAATGTTATTCCAGGCACCAAACAACGTCTTTCCCTCAATGTTCTGTTAACTGGTGCTGCACAATCTTGAATTCCCCTCTAGCTGAGGTTATGGGAAGAATTTCAGGACTTTTTGATGTTCCTTTTGCACATCGACTTCACAGCAAAGATGAGGGCCTGTCCTATCAGAAGGGACCACTGGGGACAGAACAAGCATGTCCCAGAAATGGGAGCGAAAAGAAAGACTCTGTTGTGAGCAGCAGGGGAATCTGTTTGAGCTCCCTACGGGAGGTTTCCCGGCAGTCTTATCAAGCAGCCTTGGAAGCGTTTCCAAATGGGGTCCTAGTATTTCCAAGAATGGCTCCAGATGACATTGCCTCAGTCTGGGGAATACCGGCCCAAGTCTTCCATGGAAAAAGAAGCTGCTCCATTTGTGAGCAGGGGAGAAACTGAGGGCAGATGTGCCCAGTCCAGTACCCCCTTGGTCTTCCTGTACTTGTCTGCTTCTGACATTAGTAGCGTTTTTTCTTTACACCCTTGTCTAAACCAACAACTCATACGGCTTTAATCCGGTAACAGATTAAAGGGCAGGAAGTGTGGCCCTTTCCTTTCCCAATGCTGAGGGGTCCATTCCCTCCTCTGGCGATGGTCCATCTTCTTTTACCATTGACTACTTTCCTACTGACTCACTTTCTGGCCCACAGGAACTGCTGTGCCTGTTTCTGCCCTGCCTACTCTGTGTGCACTATGACCAGAAATGAAGAAGAAAAAATAAGATTTTCCTGCACTTGGGAAAGCAGTCAAGTTTCCAGTGGGCCAAATTGGGTGCTGTAGGAAGAATGTACACCAGGAAAAACATTAAGTCACCACAGGATGGTACATCTTTATGCGTAGCTCTTTTTAAAATATATATATTTTTTATTGATTTCAGAGAGGAAGGAAGAGGGAAAGAAAGATAGAAACATCAATGATGAGAGAGAATTATTGATCAGCTGCCTTCTGCACACCCCCTACTGGGGATCTAGCCTGCAACCTGGACATGTGCTCTTGACCGGAATTGAACCCGAGACCCTTCATTCCACAGGCTAACGCTTTATCCACTGAACCAAACTAGCCAGGGCTATGCTTAGCTCTTTTAATATTTTGTTATAAAAATGTTTAAATAGATATACTCATAGGGAAAAGTCTTATGTTCTCTACACACCCAGACAAACTTAGTTTTTGACATTTCCCTAAGATTGAATTTGAATGGTTTAAATTTCAAATACTACTCTTATACAGAGGAAGATGGAAGTGCCAGGGACAGGTGCTGAATGTTCTCATCATGCCATTTAATTCTATACTAGAAAAAAGACATTAAGCCAGCATGCATTTAAATCAGCTGCAAGTGTGGTAAAGAAGCCTGACCTAGGCATCATGAGGGCTGGGTCTGCTCATTGATTCACACTGATCACCCTAAAGGCCAAGCTTTTTCAGATGATTCTTAGTTGAGAGTGTGTTAGGCAAAGAATGGCCCTCAAGGATGTTGACGCCCTAGTCTCCAGAACTTGTGACTGTGTTGCCTTGCATGGTAAAGAGACTCTGCAGATGTGGTTAAGGTGCTGGGCCTTATAATGGGAAGAGAACCTGGGATTACCTGGATGGGCCCAATGAAATATAACGAGTCCTTACAAGAAGAATAAGAAGGAAAAATAGGGGTGAGAGATGGCATCATAAAAAGGGTTCAAAATCCTGTTGTTGGTTCTGAAATGTAGGGAACTAAGTGCAAGGACCCGAGAGAAGCCTCCAGGAGTTAAGGGCAGCCCCAGCAGATTACCAGCAAGGAGAATGGAACCTCAGTCCTATAACCACAAGGAACTGGATTCTGCCAGCAACCTCAATGAGTAAGGAGACAGATTCTCCCCCGGAGCCTGCAGGCTGCGGGAAGAAATGCAGCCCTGCCAACAACTTGTTTTTATATGTTGAATCCAGGGTCGAACTTCTGACCTCCAGACCCGTAACGAAGTAAATGTTTGTTGTTTAAGTTACTAAGTTTGTAGTAACTTGTTATGTCAGCAACAGACAACTAATAGAAGAAGCATCTATGTGGCATAGGGTAGGACCAATAAAATTTTCTATTGATCAGGGAAGTAGAGCCCTCAACTCCATGAGGGACACTGGCCACTCCACTGCTGGCATTAGTGAGGGGGCACCATAGCCAACATTCAGGAGGGGCAGTGAGCCCAAGATTT